ATGCTCACCCCTTCCTTTAACATTTTTTAGGTCATGGCAAGGACATGATCGATGACGGACCTTCCCAAGGATAGTTGACATAATTTTGATCTCCCTTATGTATAGTTTTGTAACCAATGCTCAAATTTAGTTATTCTTTTGTATAGCATTGTAATGGAGGCGTTAAAGGGCCTAAGTTTGTAAACTTAATTCCTTTGGAACTACTTTGATGTAAACGATATTATGTAATGGCCATCTAAGTAACCCTTAGCCATGATTTACGGGACGAATGACTTAATGTATTATGGATTGTATAATATCTATGTTGATATTTTACGTTGATGAATGACTATTTTTATTCATATTGTGAGTTGGGATAGGGGCTTTAAGGTCAAGAATGACCAATGGTGTATTCAGACCAGGTTCGGGGAACAAAAAGGGGTTGAAAGCCCATTTCTCAGCTTAGGACGATTGCTCATCCCAGTGGGACAATCGTTCATCAGGGACGACGATCGCTCATCCCATGGGGATGATCGCTCATCCGACAAGGGTTTGGCCGTAGCGCGCGTGCCTAGTATGTCCGACGATCGATTGTCCAAGCGGACGAGCGATCGTAATTAGGTTGTACACACTGATTTTTTTTTTTAACCTTTTTCCGATTGTTCCAAGACTCTTCGGGTGGGTCCTACATGACCTTTAGGATGTATGGTACCCATTGGCCTCGCCCGAATATGAGCTGAATGGTCCAAAATGACATTTTTACCTTTTTAGCCCTAAAACGGGTGACCATGAATTAAGTTAGTTTCTTTCATTTCTAAATGATACTATGTGACCACAAATGACCTAGAAGACAGTTATAGGCTCCCCATTGGGCTGTATGGTCCAAAAAGACCAGTTTGCCCTTGTAACCCTAGGTGAACCAGTTGGCAACCAGAGTTGTTTTTCTCATTCAAAGGCCACTCAAAATGATTAGAAATGACTATTAAGGGTTCGTTTAGATCTCTGGACAATGCATTGTACAGGTCACATAGACTATTTTACCCTTGGGTGCTTACGGGTCAAATCGGGAAGGGTTGTTACATAGAAAATCTTTAAAAGGAAGGAAAGAGATTCAAACATGAGTGAGGTTCATACATGAGTGTGTGAGATATAATTTTTGTAATTGGCTAATTTCGGTGTCAAAACAAGTTCGATTAAGTTATAATTTTCAAGTTACCAAATCAAGATCAAGATCGACTATGGAATTGAAGAGTTGTTCAAGTTTGATAAACCAAGATCTACGAAAAAAGTACGAACAACACTTTAGGAAGTTAAATCCCACTTAGGAAACTATACATACATGGTATGTTCTTCAAAGTTTCCAAAACATAATTTTTCCAAACAATTTAAACCTTCCCTTCCAATTTTGTAATTTGGGAACCGGTACCAACATCTTCTATCGATTTAGGAACCATAGCTTCGAAGAACAACATTCTGTCCTTTGGGAACTAGTTCCACAGTGGCTACCGGTTCAAGAAGTGTAATACAATTTAGGATTTTTGTTTCATGTTCTCTCTAAACTTCCTGCTTGGTATAAACTTCTTTCCAAAAGCCTTATGCATGAAATTTACCTTTTCCTATGCATATCTAAGTATTTGAAAGTCTATATAAACCTTGATTTACATCTAGGTTGATACGGCTTTCGCATTAAAACTTCTAATTCTTTAAAAGCTTATTTAAGAGATATTTTACAGAAAATCAAATCTGATTTTTATGTTTTTATTTCTTAAACACGTAAATAAACACAAGAGTGATTTTAGGGTGTTGTTCAATTCCTGATCGTGTTCAAAGTTTATTGAATATTGATTTACAACGATCAGAGAAACAACTCTATTTCTTTTACATCAAATTTAGATCTTGAAGAACATGGGTGAAATGATTACACTTTGGAAGGGCCAAAGCATTCGAGGAGTGTTGTTTAATCTACCAGCAATCCTTCTACAGAGATTAAGAGTAAACCTGGAGTCAAGAGCTGTTGGACGGGATGTTGCAAAGCTAGAGGATTGTCAACAATTGGTTTTTGGTAGAACGATATGGTGTGAGCCTGAGTCAAAGTCCATTGTACTTTGTTTCATACATAGTAGATCATTTTGCTTTGGACTGCATAGTCCATGAGATTTTTTCCACAACAATTGGTCTATTATACCAATTAGAGTTTCCTCACTAAAAATCCTAGTGTCATCTCTCAAACTCTATTTGCTTTACTTTACTTTTATCTTGCATGTGATTAATTGATTAATTGCTAAATTAAGTAAAGCTGATTAAAATAGAAAGATACGTGATTTAATCTCTTGATGGGTATAAATTGTTACCACTTAAAAATACCACTTGCAATAGCACAAATCAATGTAGAATAAGGCTACAGTAAGGGGTTGTTGAAACCACAAGGCTTGCTAGCTTATGGCAACCAAAATTGTAAAATTGATTTTAGTTTAATAAAATAGATGATAATTTGATTGGTTTGTCACTTAAAACTATGAAATGGAATTGCATAAATGAAAATGAATTCAAATGGATTAAACTTATAAAAAGAAGGCTAGCGAATTGACTTCACCAAAACCTCATAAACATGCTAACTTGCACTCAACTTGGGGATAAACAACTATGTATATAAAATGATGTGTAGAAGTATAAAACAACCACAACATCTTTCAGAAAATCATACATTTCAGGACTAAGCGTAACCCATCTTTGGTTGGAATGGTTCATCCACCTAAACTAGGTTGTGGTATGAACCAATCCCTAAGCATGGCCTATCAAGGTCCTTCAATTGTATGTTGAAGCACATGAAATTCAAGTATCTATCATAAATTATCTTCAGTTGGTATGGACCATCTACCTAACTAAATTAATCTAAAGGTGTAGCATGGTCCATCTCCTTTAAGTAATCTGTACAAATTCTAAGTTAACATGCCAATATAACCATTTCATAAATTCATTCCCATTGTCACTATAGGAAATCAAGTGCATAATTATGCCAATATGATTTCTAAGACAAGATAAACATATCAACATAATTATATATTCAAATGAAAATCACATACATTAATTCAATGTAAAAACACATCAATTCAATATAAACAACTTCTAATTTATGAAATCAAATATATACAAGATGAATCCCCAAATTGAAAAAGCAATTACAACATATTTACTTGATCTAGGTTACATCAACTCCCTAGGAAGGGAGTTAATTCCTTATAGACATGGTAGCAACTTCAAGGATTGAAGAAGAAGAAGAAGAAGATTTCTCCTACAACCCCATTGTTGCAAAACTCAGCATAAAACCCTAAGAAAAATCCTCTCTCTCCCAATATCTTTCTAGAATAAAATTAATGAATAAAAATTCAAGCCTTTGCCCCCCTTTTAATCCTAAAATGGGTTGCTAAACAACCCAGCCCGTTGAAATTCAAATTCCCTCTTAAAAGGGAACAAACTTTGACTTATTAAAAGTGGGGACCCGTAGGCTGGCGTCCGGACGCGAGGTAACTGCATGGTGTTCGGACGCGAAGGATGATACTTGGCTTCTTTCTTCTCTTTTGCAATGCTGAATGTGTCCATTGAATATTTTGGGTCATCTCTTCTTGAAAATCACTTGATATTTAGATCCGATATGACTTGCTCTTCAAAAACCCTTAAAACCTTATTTTTATTTCTTTTTAGTAAATAAACCTACAAAAACACAAAAATGAAGATAATCTATATACAAAGATCAAATAATGGACTTAACTAATGCAATTAAGGATACTTAAATATGCAATATTTGGCGCTTATCATCTCTCTTGATAAAAACTTAAACTTTCCACAATTATATTTCGCTGCAAAACTCACAAGTGTGGGTAAAAAGTATGTACAAACATAAGCGTGGGTAAGAGTATGTAGGAGTGATGGTGTGAGGGCCTGTTTCGTACGTGTTTTATTTTTGGCATTTTATTTTAACTTCATACAAAATAAATGATTTGTTGTAAAGTCTTTTGAATAATAATCGGAAGCATATTTGGAAACTTTATTTATTGTAAGATTTTTGGAACCAAAAATATGAAAACATGTTTGGTAAAAAAATGTTGCAAATTTAAAAAATATAATGGTTAGTTTCAAATTTTCATTGAAAAGTTTTTTAAAAATAAAATTTTAGTGTTTATTGCTACCGTACCAAACGTTACAAAACATATAAAAACATCTTCTTTTTTTTATGTTTCCTCTTTTCGTCACAAAAGTTGAAAACATTTTTTGTTATAGAAAAATAAAAACATATTTTATTAAAACATTTTTTGTTATAGAAAAACAAAAATATATTTTATTGAACGCGATTTTTATTTTCGTTTTGTTTTTTTTTATTTTTTTAAGAGTTGATAACAAAAAATAAGAAACGTTTCTGGTTATGAAATACAATCTTTAATATTTTAATATTTGGCCACTATTCATGAAACATTTCGTGCTATGTAAAACAAAATAATTTTTCTCTACAGCCTTTAATATTCTAATTTTTTACCACTATTTATGAAACATTTTCTGCTATGTAAAACAAAATAATTTTACTATCCACTGTTACAGCATCCAACAAAAATGCTTAGAACTTTTCCCGATGTGTCTTTTCCATTATTAAAACATTTTTTGTTATAGAAAAACAAAAATATATTTTATTGAACGCGATTTTTATTTTCGTTTTATTTTTTTAAGGGTTGAGAAGAAAAAATAAGAAACGTTTCTGGTTATTAAATACAATTTTTAATATTTTAATATTTAACCACTATTCATAAAACTTTTCCTGCTACGTAAAACAAAATAATTTTTCTCTACAGCCTTTAATATTCCAATTTTTGACCACCATTTATGAAACATTTCCTGCTATGTAAAAAATAATTTTACTATCCACTGTTACAGCATCCAACAAAAACGCTTAGAACTTTTCCCGATGTGTCTTTTACATTGATCCGAACCTCCTTCCCTTTTTTTTTTTTTTTTTCGGTAGGAAACACGCCCCCAACTTAAAGCGCACTCACCCAGGGGACTCAAATGCTTGTGCGAGTTACATTCTTTGTTTTTGGGTAAAAAAATCTGGTACATTCTAGCTCGCGATTGTGGTTGTGCTGTGACGGAGAGAATGGCATGGAGGGGTCATCTGTCTAAGAATCTGAAGGAGATTCGGATCCTCTTTTGCCAAACTTCACCTGCCAGTTCGGCTGCTAGGTTTTTCTTCCTTCCTTCTTTTTTTTTTTTTTTAATCAATTCTCCTTTCATTCGTGTTTCAATACCTTTCTTTCGTTTAATTTCCTTATTATATGGCATGTGTTGTTGTTTGATCCTATTTTCTTTGATTTTTTTCTCTCCCTGTATAGATCATTCGTCGAAAAGAATTATAAGGATCTGAAAACGCTTAACCCAAAATTCCCAATATTGATCCGTGAATGCAGTGGGACCGAACCTCAGCTCTGGGCAAGATACGGTATCAATTTCAAATGGGTCCCCTCTTTTTCTATCATCATAATACACCATACATGCCCTGTCTTCTTAATTATTATTATTGTTGTTGTTGTTTATAATTTTTCAGTTAATATTGTTTTTCTACACTTTTACATTTAACCGATCCTCTTCTGTTGTTTTTGAGGCTAAACCACAAAAGATACACTAATTGAAACCAGGGTCTGATGAGTTGAAACTTGAAAGCTTAGTTGCTTCTCCAAATCTTCATACTATTTTTAATAATATTGACAGTTATTTCTAGTGCCAACTGGATAAATCCTATTATTTCATTGCCGAACCCTCCTTACTGAAACTTGTAACTAACATAACAAAAACACAAAAGCATCCAATGCCATCGGAATTCATCTTTCCGTGAGGAAAGTGTTAGAAAGTATTCATCTTTCTAGATTGTAAACTTTTGGTTGTTTTTGTTATAGTAGCATTTTTATTTTATTGTGTGACTACTATCAAGCGCCTTATTGCTTTTTCATAGAATTAAAAAATTTCCTGTATATTTTTCTCATTCCAATTGCCAGAATGTCTGATCCATTCTTGCCAATGTTTCACACAGTAATGTCATCTTGATCTGCAGTCTTATGGCCATGGCCCAACTGGCATAGTTTTTGGTGAGCTTTGCTTCACCACAAAGTACAAACTGTTTCCAAAGCAAAGCTTGGGTTGTAGTTTCAGAAACTTTCTGTGAAAGTCTATTTAAAATGTTTGAAAATCATAGAAGGTGCTGGAAACTCCTAGGAAACTCAAATTGAACAATCTGAACTCTTGAAAAGCACAATGGAAACTTACAAACCAATGTGGTTTCTTAAAAATCTTGTTTTTTCGTTTGTGTGCGCGTGCATGCTTTTCAATTCTTTAGTCCCATTCGAGATGCTTGGAGGGTTGGCCTCTTTCTTTTTTTTCATAATTGGTTGGCCTCTTTCCTTATGACGGGGCTTATGGTTTGAGAGGAATAGGAGATCCTTTGACATGGAGGAGACTCCTATTTGAGCATTCAGATTCTATATTCTTTTTTTTTCTTTCATAAATGTGGTTGTATAAAAGAAAAGAAAAATTATATACAGGTGCACAGAGGGCATACCCTCAGAATATAGAAAACAACTAACAGAGAAAGGATACAAGCATCCACTCCCAAATCAGAAAAAATTAACAGTGGAACAAACTCCACTTCCAAACTAAAATGAAAATCCAAAAGACTAGCCAACAAAAGCAGACATAGAAACATTATGAATGTCCATCACCTCCAACAACAAAGTTCTTGCAACAACTTCAGGATCAGTGGCAGTATCATACAATCTAGCATTCCTCTCATGCCAAATACCCCAAAGAGCAGCAGCAAACAAAGTTCTATGATATCCAGCATTAGATAAATCCTTAAACCAGTTGAAAAGATCCCCTAAGGACTCCACAGCACTAAATTGCTGCATATTCCAATGCAGAATCTCCCCCAACCATCTCCAAAAACTTTGTGAAAACCTGCATCCACTAAAGAGGTGTTCAGTAGTGTCAATCTCCTTGTGACAAAGAGAACATCTAGCCACCAAAACTAACTTCCTTCTCTGCAGATTTACTGTAATACCCCAGGTTTTAGATTAAGCTTTAATCTTGATTAAAGGTATGATTAGTAAATTTTGGAGACTATCTAATGTTGTCCTTTTATGTGTTTGATAAAATGCTTGATTCAATTATTATTTTGGGAATTGATGTAAATTGAGGCTTTCATGTGGTTATGCGTGTATCTAAATTAACCTATGGATATCTAGAGACTTCTTGCTGATGTTCCTTGTGGGTTTGAATGACGGAATTGATGATGGGGAAAACGGAAATTGTTTTGTTGTTGGAAACACTATAGACTCTTTTGATGCTTGTGATTATAATATGCAAAACAGGGGTCTTTATTTTATTGGAAAATAATATTTTCTATAAGGGATTGTAGAGATCCAAATGCTTTCAAATTTTTACAACAGCTTCCTTTATGCATCTAGTATTTCTCCATAAAATTTCGTAATTTTTAGATCAGTAGATATTTTTCTAAAAATTCGAGAATACCTGATGTCCGTATTTTATCTCTGCTGGAAATCAGATTTTTGAATGAATTATTTGACCAACTTCTTGACACCGAATCATTACCAAAACTTTCAGATTTATTCTTTCGTAAGTCTACTGTCAAAATAAATTTACTTTACCCAATTTGGAGGTCAAAAGAATTTTCTACAATTTCTGAAGTCTCCGTTGCCCAGATTTTCTTCGAACTAAGTACTGCTGATTTACTTCTCAAATCTGATTTAATTGGAAAATCTTCAGCCTTCGTGAGTTGCTCAGCTGTGTTTCACTTTGAATTTAGTTTTCAAATCATTTTTGTTTGCTCCATTTCGATCTAAAATGAATTTTTTACGAATTTTTAATTAATTGCAGCACAGATTTTGTTTTGAGGTTGTTTGTGATGTGTTTAAGTTGGTAATTATGGGAGTAGCGCAGCGGGATTTGGTTTGTGGTTATTTGGGTTGAGGTAGGACCAAGAATGGTTTGATTTTATTTGGATGGTTTTTCCGAATCATGTTTTGTGATTGCCCCTAATTTCGGGTCGTTACATTTACCATAGAAGGAACCTTACTCAGCAACACAAAAACAGAAGTAACGGACCATATAGGCCTTGCTCTGCTCCAACAAAAACGATGCCAACTGACTTCCTCTACTCGCTGTCTACTGGTCTGCCAAGCTTTCTTGAAAGAGAACTTGCTCTTATCCCACAAAAGTTTATCTTCAGTAGGATTAATGGGCACCTGCACCAGAAACTCTTTGAACTGATGTAAATCCTGCTCTTGGAGAAGACTCAAATCCCAACTACCACTTCTCATTAAACTGTTTAATGTAGCAGTTCTGGATATGTTTAGAGACCTTAACGCTCTATGTCCAAATTTCTGAGCAACTGTCAACCCCTCACACCATGGATCTTGAACAGAAAATGTATTTCCATTCCCAATACAAAAAATAGTATGCTGCAACATAGTATCCCTCATTTTTTGATTCTTAGTTGCTTATTTTTGGATTCATGGGTGGCATCGTTAATCCGTGGAGAATCTCAAGCATTTTTTTCGATAGCTTGAGGATATAGTGTTTCTTTTGGCCTTTGTGCGGTTGTAAGTGGGATGCGCTCCCCCTCTGAGTGCCTTTCTATTTCTATATATACTTTGCTTATATAAAAAAAAGGTCTTTAGTCCCATAAAAACTCATAATATGTTTTTGTAAGTTTCCTAAATGAAAGAAAGAATTTTTTTTCTCATTTGTTGGTGTTAATATATACATGTTTATGTGTGTGTATATATTTGTACACTAAATTTAAAATAATCCAAATGGGAAACTCTATAATCATCAAAGCAACACGTTTTTTGTGGATTGAGAATTTTTTGATTCAAAGTTCGAAAGTTTAAATGAAAATTTACTTAAAATTCAAATATATTGAATAAATACTCTGCAATCAGCCAAAAACTAGTTGTTCAACATCCCAGTCTTACTTCTGCGACTTCTCATCCAGTTGTTCCAGACTTTAATCTTACTCCTTAGACCTTGCGGACAAGTTTATGGAATAACACGATTGCTCCGCGAATAATCTGTCCCCTTCGTAGTGATTGATTCCCCTTCATACCACTTATGAGATAGAAGATGTAAGGAAACATGTTGCTCTGTTTGAACTAGATAATTCATAGACTCACAATACCGTTGATCCTAAAACACTTGCGTGTATGTTTGTGCTCCCAAAAACTTAAAAACAAAATAAACAAAATCATGACTGATTTTTCTTTCAAAAACACACTCTAAGATTTACCAATGGTGTTTCTGTCCGTGTGTGTATGTGATAACAAAGAAATGAGTTTATAAAGGCAAGAGAGTCCAACTAAAAGTTGAAATAGTAGTTTTAAAATCCTAATGGATGTCTTTTGAAATTTGGTTAAAAAAGAACTCCAAGTTAGATCAGAAAAATTGAAGTTCTAAACCTCTTGGCCAAATACCTAACTGGTTTTAAAAAGTCCCAACTGGTTCTACCCACTATGAAAAAATTTCCAGCGACTTTGCAGAAATTCAAACTTCCCAAACCTCGTCGTGGGGTCAAACAAACTCGAAATTAAGTAAGTAACATGTTGTTGGAAAACTTATCGAGTCTAGTTTCTGACCATATAAAGATCATCTCGAGACTCCAAATGCATTCACAACATCTTTTTCATGAATCAAAACGCGTATGCGTACCCTAAAATGAGAATGCATGATTATGAAACCCTAATTTGGTGAGTTGGTTATCCATTGTACCCTAAAATGAGAATGCATGATTATATGCCTAATTTGGCATGTATAGTTAGGTGGCTTAGGCATTGGAGGTTGATGCCTATCAATAGGGCTCTTCTAGGTAAGTGGCTGTGGAGATTTGGTGGTGAGCGTTGTTGACTTTGGAGGAGGGTTATTTTGTGCTGTTTTGGGGAGGAGTGAGGTGGGTGCTCCTCTTGTGTGGCCAGATGTGCTGGGGTGTGGGTGTTTGGAAGTTCATTCGGAAAGGTTGGGATGAGCTTTCTAAACATATTAGATTCAGAGCTCGGGATGGCGGGAGCATTTGGTTTTGGGAGGATTTATGGTGCGGTGATTGTCCGCTTTTTTGTTCTTTTCCTAGGTTCTTTAGAATTGCCTTTGATAGACATGCCTTGGTTGCCAATTGTTATTGGCTTGATAACGGTAGGATTACATGGGATGTGCGTTTTCGACGACACTTCCAAGACTGGGAGGTGGACGATGTGGTTGGACTTTTGGATCTTTTGTACAGGAAGGAGCTGGATGACAGAGGCTCTAACTCCATGTTATGGGTGCCTTCTCCTCAGGGGTCTCTGGGTCTAACTTCTCGTGGAAGACGTTTGGTGCTCGAAGGCTCCTCTCAGAGTGACCTTCTTTGTTTGGACAACAGTTTGGGGCAAGATATTGACAACGGATAATCTGAGAAGGAGAAGATTGTTAACTGGTGTTGTATGTGTAAGAGGGATGCGGAGTCAGTGGATCATCTTCTTTTGCATTGCCCTGTGGCTTATGATTGTTGGCGTGTTCATTGGGTTATGCCTCGCTCTGTGAGGGGATTGATTGTCACTTGGAGAGGCTATTTTGTGGGAGCCCATGCTCGTGAATTTTGGTGGGCGGTTCCCTTTTGTGTTTATGCATTTGGAAGGAACGGAATAGAATATCTTTCGACGGGGAGGAATCTTCCATTGGGAATTTGAAATTTGTTATCATTAATTCTCTCTTTAGTTGGGTTATGGGGAGAAATTATAAATCTATAGAGGCGACTGTTGATCTTTTGGGTTCCTTGGGTCCGTAGGACTGGTTCTTTGGCTCCGGCCTTGTACAGTGATTGGGATGCGTTCCCTTTTTGAACGCTTTCTAATATAATCTTATTTATCAAAAAAAAAAAAATGAAACCCTAATTTGGTGAGTTAGTTATCCAAGAGGTGATTCAAAACATGTATGCATTGTATCCTAGAATAAGAATGCATGATTTTGAAACCCTAATTTGGTGAGTTAGTTATTCAGGAGGTGATTTCACCTTTTTGCCCTTTGATGTATCTTCAGACTTCAAATTTTGATTCTGTTCTTGGGCATAGGTACTACCAATAACTAACTAAACTAACTTTTCAATTCTAATCAAAATCTAAAATTAAAAATTCAAACTCCAATTTTTGTTACGAACTTTGCCGACGCTAAGTTCTAATCCTAACAAAGTAAATGCTGATCTTGATGCAAGCCTAACAATAATTGGGAATTTATTTTTTTGATCAACTTTATATCGAATTTCTCCCTCTTTGGCAAAATCAGTTTTGAAAATTGGCCTAATTGTTTCATTTTAATGTTGTACCTGAAGGGCATTTTATTTGTATTTTTTTAAAATAAAAATTCATCCCGTCTCTTGAAATCATTCATGATTTTTTTAGAGGAGGTTGGTTTTCATAAAGTTGTACCCTTGGTTATGTATTCATGCTTTTGTTAGACAAGGTTAGTTTTCAAAAAGTTGTACCCTTGGTAATGCTTGTAAAATAAAATTTATAGTTGGAGTTCTTCTAGTTCTCTATTTTTGTTGGTAACATATTTTTATTACACATTCAAGATTGCATGTGGCCAAATGCCTCATAATGCATTAAAAATTAGTAGGGTTTAAAATAAACTTGACATTTTACTTACCAAGTGGTGTTCTTTGCACATGTCCTAACTCCTAACCATCTTAATTGATTTTCTCTCAATTTATCTCCAGCGAGTTTTATTTCAACCATCTCATGAATATGTTGATTATAATTCTACAATTTCTTGTCTTGACACACATCCATCTCAACATTCGCATTTCCGACACACTTACTTTATGCATATTATGTTTCTTAGTTGCCCAACATTTTATCCCTCAAAGATTGGTCTGTCTAGAGCTATCACAAAACTTCTCTTTCTATCTTAGACAGATACACTGATTACACAATATTTCAATCGCACTCCTCCATTTAATCCATCCCTTCTTAATACTTTTATTAGCATCACCTCCAATTTCTACTTCATTGTGAATAATTGAGTCTGAATAACAGAAATGTTCACTTTTTTGTATTTCTTGATCCTTGGAGAGTGAGAGATGCCATTTAGGTTCTGTCCTTCTGGGCATCGATCCTATGCAGGGGTCTCAAAAGTCATGAACATTCTCAGATCTGGTGGTGTTAAGGTGTCGAGTTTGAAGTATGATCTAGGCATATGGCAAAGAAGGGATGTTATTCAGTCTTGCTTGGTAGGAAAGTTTGATCGCGAGGTTGGAAATCTTGCACATATTGAACAATGGGATACTAAGGCATGGTACGTAGCTTGCATAGTCATTGTTTCGCCATTGCCAAACACCTTACTGCTCTTTAGATTACCTTCCCATGCTGAAGCCGTTAGGGTTCTGTTGAATGGGAAAAGAAGGGGGATGCGTCGATGCGATCCTTAGGTTGGATGTCTGTTCATTTAGGGTTGTGCTCTGGGATTCTAAAGAAGAAAAAGGAGAGGAGAATGCTAGTGTATGGTTTGCCCTTGCATCTTTGGTGATCTGCCTTGTTTGAAGCCATTAGAAATGTTTGTGGGGGATTCAAATCGGTGGAGGTGGACAAAAGTTTTGATGCGAGCAAGATCACTATTGCGCACAGTTCGTATTATTGACAACAACTATTGTCCAGGCTTCGATCAATTGAGCATTTGATCGAGCTAGTCTGGACTTCAATATAATCTTTTTGGAAATTGTCAATTGATCGACACATCGATTGTGGCTTACCGTTTCTGAAAATATTTCATGTTTAAACATATTTATTCCAAAAACAACTTCATGCACTCAAAACATCTTTATCATGAATCAAAACATGTATCTATTATTGTACCACCTAGACTTGAATACGTGTGCTAGGTGTGGATATGCATCCAAGTGTTAGACACATCACATTTTGAAACCAAAGGACACATGGACACTTCTAAATATTCATATTATATAATATTTTTTTATTTTATAGAGTAAAATAATTCCTTGTGTTACATATTTTTTAATATAAACATTTGATAATTTTTGAAGCAATATGCATTGTCTTGTGGCGAATGACTGTTGGAATCTTATTTTCGGGTTGTTTGGCATGTGTTGGGTAATGCCACGATCTACTAAGGAATTGATTCATGTACGGAGAGGATGTCGCGTGAGAAGGGATGTACGCGATTTCTGGAGAGTCATCCCACATTGTGTTTGGTGGTGTATTTGGAAGGAGAGAAATAGTAGAATATTTGAAGATAAAGAGTCGTCTACGGCAATGGTGAAACATCACATTCTTCGTTCTCTTTTCAATTATGTGAAAAGGAGTTCTTGCTCTTCTTCTGATGATTTAATTATTTTTCTGGATTCTTTGGGGCCTTAGCCCCGGTTCCATTTTTGTATAAGGGACGCGTTCCCCTTTTGAACGCCTTTTTATGTTATTATTACTTATTAAAAAAAAATATAATCAATCTGAATCATTGGATATGCTTTTTAGGTGCATGTCCAACTAAAAGTGTCGAACGCATATCCATACCCGTGTCCTATTATTTTGTGTCGGACATGGATATTTCACTAATTTTGAAGAGTCAATGTAACATCTAAAATGAGAATGCATGAATCTAAAACCCTAATGTGGTGAGTTAGTTATCCAAGAGGTGATTTTACCTTTTTTCCCTTTGATGTAACTTCAAATTTTTTTTTTTTTCCCTTAGACATGGGTACCCCCTCTAACTAACTAAACTAACTTTTGAAATTCTAATCAAAAGCTAAAATTAAAAATATAAACACAGGCTTTTGTTACATGATATGCTGACATTTGGTTCTAATTCTAACATGGTAAATGTTGATCTTGATGCATGTCTAACAGTAATTGGAAATTTATTTTTATGATTAACTTAGTTTCTCCGTCATTGGCAAAATCAGTTTCGAAATTGGCGTCATTGTTTTGGGTATTTGTCGTACTAGAAGGGTATTTTATTTGGATTTTTAAAAAATAAAAATTCACCTTGTCTCTTGAAATCATTTATGCTTTTGATAGATGAGGTTGGCTTTCAAAAAGTCGTACCCTTGGTATTGTATTCATGCTTTTGTTAGGCAAGGTTGGTTTTCAAAATGTCGTACCCTTAGTAATGTATTCATGCTTTTGTTAGAAATGGTTGGTTTTCAAAAAGTCGTACCCTTAGTAATGTTTGTAAATTTTAAAAAATATTTGGAGTTCTCAGAGTTATCTATTTTTGTTGGTAAATGTTTTTATTACACATTCATGATTACATGTGACCAAATTCCTCATAATGCATTAGAAATTAGTAAGGTTGAGGATAAACTTGACATTTTACTCACTAAGGGCTTATAATAGTGATAGAATGTAGGAATTAATGTGGGAGTGGTATATGGTGAATGATGGTTCCTTATGCACTTAGGCAAAGACGACTCAAGTACATGAATGTATAAAAGGTTTGTTGATCTTGCATGGGCATCTCCTTAAAAGTTGATTAGCGTGGAAGTTCTATGGTAAATTATGAAACCTTTTCTTCATTTTTTATGTCAATCTTTGGTTGAAGGTGATTCTAGTTTCTTGTCAAGTGTGTTAGGCTTTTGGGTCCTTGGAACTATGATCACCTTTTGAGAGAGATCTTGGATATGTTTTCTTACTTATCTAGTCAGATAATAGTTGCATTTTGGGTTCAACTATTTCGATGCCTTATGAATGAGCAAGGCAAGCCGCCTTAAAACTCTGAACAGCATTATTCAATTAAATGGACCAAAGGTGTAGATTGTAGATACTGCTTAGATTCTTTTATAGCGTTAATTTACTTTGGCTTCGGTACATGGTAACTGGTATTCGTAATGGTACATGCCCATTTTTATTTTGTGCGTGTGATGCGCATCTATTTTGGGTATTTTATATTCGTCCTTTAGTTGTCAACATCTGTAGGTTCATTTTTGCAGCTTTTATTTATTGATTTATGGATTTATTTGTAAACAGACATGGGTGTGGAAAGGGGTATTCGCTTAGAAGGCTTGACAGAAGCACAGATTTTAAAGGCACTGCAGGACCTTGTTAAAGTGGGGGCAGCTCTCAAAGCCTGAGATATCACTGCTATCAGAACCTCTGAAATTAATAAATTAATCTCCTATGGGAAGCTCTTCCTAGGATGATTTTTAATTTGGCAACCCATGTTTGTCTTCCTTATGATGATATTTTGAAGTTGAATACTCAGCATTGTGTGTGTAGTTACTTTGGTTTGCTAAATTGTGCTCATTCAGTTATTTGAACTCCAATTTACAGTCTTATAGAAATCCATTTTCCTGTATTAGTTGTCAAAGGTCTATAGCCTACCAAGAGCGGGAGGAAGGAAAGGGTGGGAAAAGGTGATGGATGGGTATATTGTTTGGCAGGAAGGAAGAAGAGGAGAGGAGAGGAGAGGAGAGGAGGTTCATCCATGTCATATTCTTCACAAAAGTGGGAGAAAAAGAGGCTGGAAAGAGATTTCAACCCCCTTTTTCTAAACATTTTTTGTTTTTTACTACAGCTCATCCATGCCACATTGTTTTTATGATGTTTAAAAATCTTGATATTTGATAAATGGGAAAGTGGCTATGGGGAGAAAAATGTTTGGTAGGCTCTGCTGAACTTTTTAAATTTAGGGATTCTCATATGACGGTTTGCCTTATATATTAGCCTTATTAGGCAATTTTGTTCTGGGTATATAGGTATTTTGAACGTGTAACTGTGCAAGACTAGTGGAACCATGTACAATAGGCAATTTTGTTCTTGTTTGCTTGCAATTCTCTTTTTAAGAGAGAATATATATAAGGAAAACTAACGGTGAATTAGTGTTACTTTTAATTTATTATTTATTTTACACACTAAAGTTCTAGACATCTGTCTTTCATATTTCCTATTTTCAAGATTTCCTTTTCTATGGATGTAGGGATATCAATTTAACCCATTTCCTAATACAATGGGTTTGGAATCATCCTAATTGACGTACTGGCGAATTTGGAAAAAAATAGAACTCGTCCCAACCCTCCCCGAATAATATCTTATTAACTATAAAAAAAATTTTCTTTATTTTTAAATTTTAACAAATTTATTTTATTGTTATGATCCTTACATGTTTGACTTTTACAAAATTTATTTTTACTTTATTCAAATTTGAACTATTTACAAAATTTATTTTTAAGTTTATTCAAATTTGAATTATTTTTTTTAAAAAAAATGTATATCGATCCGAACTCGCTCCGACTCTGATGCAGAACTAGGGCTGCAATTCAGGCGAGTTGGGCAAGGTTGAGGTATAACTTGAGTCCAACCTATCATTTGAAATGTTAAACCCAAGCCTAACCTTAATCTTATTCTCAACTTTAATTACTCAACCCGAGCCCAATTCATCCTTCGACTTTTAAATTCATGCTTACAACTTGGGCTTAGATTCCGGATTAAAATTTCGGGTTAATTCGGATTTCCTAGTATGGCTAATCTTTATACTGAAAATTTAATTTGATCTTGAATTAGTTTTAGATAAATTACTTGATTTAAAGATTTTTTGTAAATTTTTAATAAATTACAAATAAATTTTTAGAAAATTAATTCTCCTAAATGCTAAAATAAATAAGTTAAAATTAAAAAAAAAAAAAAAAAAAAGGTTAGAAAAGAAAAAAAGTAATCATAGTTTAAATTTTATATATAATGTATTTAAAAGTAAAAATATATATGAAAATAAAATTAAATTTTGGGTTCGAGTTAACTCGGTTGTTAGTACTCCGATCCAAGTCAAAGCTTAATTAAATTCGAATTGAAAATTTTCAATTCAAGCTTAACCCTAATTATGAAAAGGATTATCCGAGCCTGTGAAAAATCAAACTGAACTTGAATTGAGTTCAGGTTACCCAACCCTAGCTACGCCCTTATGCAGAAAGTCTGTTTGAAAACAAATTTTGAAGGTGGAACGGGTTGTCCTGTCCCGAACCTATCATATTGACATCCAGGGAAGTTGCTGAGTAACATTCCTTAAAAACGAAAACGCATTTTAAAGAAACTATGAACCTAGAAGAGAGTGTGCAAATGAAAATAAAGAAACTATGAACCTAGAGGAGAGTGTGCAAATGCAAGGTGAACACCCGTCCCACAATACTACCCACCCCATAATCCACTGTCCCGAACAAATGCTACTACAGCTCGCTTTATTTATTTATTTATTTTTTATATAAATTTATTTTGCCCCCAAAAACCCTAATAAAAAAGTTTCCCAATATCTCTCTCCTCCCTCTCTTCTAGTTCTGGGTTTGTTCTGGAGTGAATAGTCTTTTGATATCCTGCAAAATAACACCATGTCGGTGGTGGAGGATGGTCGGAGAAAGACGGAAGGTCTAGTTGTGAAAATGGCGGAGATCGAAGGGAGAGGGAGAGCACTGATTGCATCTAAGCCGCTAAAAGGCGGCGAAATCGTCCTGAAAGAGACTCCTATTCTTCTCTACTCTGCTCTTCCTTTAAAACAGCCTCCGCCTCAGCCATCTGAACAGCAGCTCACCGGCCGCAGCAATTACTGTTATAACTGCTTCAAATCAATCGCGGTCGCCGCGAAAAATTCATCGATGATTTCATGCCCTTCCTGTTACTCTCTCTTCTTCTGTAGCCCTAACTGCCAATCCGTCGCTCTCTCGTCGTCTCACTCCCCTTGGGTTTGCCAAGCCCTAAGTCGACTCAGAGATGCCCCTTCTAATTGGCAATCGCTTCATCACCACCACCAAGCTGAACGCCAAGTCCAAGCCCGTTTCCTCGTCGCCGCCTACAATCTTGCCGTCGTTTCCCCTTCCGACTTCAGGACTCTTCTGTCTCTTCAAGGCAACCATTCCAATGGTGATGACAAAGATGCCCTCTTCCTCCATTCTCTCGTCTCTTCCCTCTGTCCTCCTCCTCCTCCGCCTATACAGCACCATGCCTTTTCCTTGGAACTGACGGCGGCTCTACTGGCCAAGGACAAGCTCAACGCTTTCGGTTTGATGGAGCCTTTCTCTTTCTCTCAAGACCAAAATGGGGATAGATCTGTTAGGGCTTACGGAATTTACCCTAAAGCTTCTTTCTTTAACCACGATTGCCTTCCCAATGCTTGTAGGTTTGAATATCTAGATAATAATGACCACCCTGTCATTGTCAACAACAACAACACGGACATGATCGTTAGGGCAATCCATGATATCCCCCAAGGCAGGGAGATATGCTTGAGTTATTTTCCGGTAAATTTCAACTATTCCGAGAGGCAGAATAGGTTGAGAGAAGATTATGGTTTCACTTGTGAGTGCGACCGTTGCAAGGTTGAGGCAAATTGGTCAGAGGACGACAATGACAATAATGAGAATGAGGACGACGACAATGAGGAGGCAATGGACGAGGACTTGGTGGAGGAGGAATATGACCGCATGGCCGATTCAGAGGCTGAAGATGGTATTGAGGTAAAGAGAGACGATGATGATTTCCCTCATGCATATTTCTTCTTGAGATACATGTGTAACAGAAAGAATTGCTGGGGTACTTTGGCTCCCCTGCCTCCATCATCTAATGTGATGGAGTGTAATGTTTGTGGCAACTTGAGGAAGGATGAACACTATGATGCCTTGGACTAATGAGCTCTTTTTCTGCTTGGGTGAGTTGTTTCCTACTTTTAAACTCTCTTCTTGCATTCACTGCTACTCTTGAGTCTTGTAGTAGCATTATGCAAAGTATTGTTTCATTACTTTAGTCTTTTGTGTGGATTCTAGCTGGTTAAAACTTCTTGCTGCTGTTTGTTGCAACTTTTCTTCACCTATTCTACAACTACCATTTACGTTAGCTCCAAACTCAATCAGATGTGTTTTTAGAATTCCTTTTCCCTATATTTGGGTTCGTGTTTCCATAGGCAGGAGATTTGGGTTCGTGTTTCCTTAGGCAGCAGATTTCTTGTTTACCTGCATTATTTAGTAAGCATTGCAGAGGGAGGAGATGTTGGAGTGATATTAAAAAGAAGAAATGTAATCATTGTGAAGAAAGTTACTGAAGTGATGTTGGAAAGAAGAACAGGAACTGCGAGCCAATGCCTAAATGTACGCTTTGCAGTTTATCCAAGATGTATTAAGCTAATATTGAATAAAGAGAAGTGTTTGTCCTCCCTCCCTCTGCATTTTGTTGTCCAAAAACGGAGAAAACAATCTCCTCCTTGGGGGCGGGGGATTATGGAGTTAAAAGGTTGAGGAGGCAAACTAGATGCAAAAAGCATATGGTTTGGCTCAGCTCTCATAATCATAAAGCATCCATACTCGGCTCTTCAATGCTCCTTGTGTGCATTCAAGTATTGCTATCCCAAGTGTGTTGTTGATGAATTAACAAGTGGTGGGTGTCAATATTGATTGAATTAGACATAATATGACACGAGAAAAATATAGGTTTTATGTAATTTCTTCATCTTCTAATACAGATGGTACTATTAATTATTTCTACATGATAAAATAGATATTTACAAATAAGTTCTTCAAAAATTCAATTTGTTCTTACAGTCTTAATTGTGAAAACCTCCACCGAGAAAGAAAAGAAAGGATTTTTTTTTTTCAGCCCTTCCATTTAGTGTTTATGAGTGAATTTGTGTCATGTAGCCATAGTATTATTATGTTCTATAAGCTTTTGTGGGGCACCATTACTATAAATAAGATCTCCAGATTCAAAGATGAAAGCTCGAAGCATAATTGAGAGAGTAATTTGATGACCCAAAGGTTATTTGTTGACCTTGGGATTTTCATAGTCATGTCCAGCATTCATGTGTTCAAAACCTCCTTCCTTCAACTCTTCTCCTCCTTGCATCCACGTGCTCAAAACCTCATTCCTTTAACTCTTCTCCGCGGTTACCAAGCGTCAAACCCTTGACACAAGCCTTATACCCTTAACGTTGAGATTGTAAACTTGATATGTAATACAATAAGGCATTGAGGCTTGTCCACCTCTTTTATGCTTTGGATTTTGAAGCACTCTGCGTGAAGGGATAGAAGAGAGAGGGAAAGAGAGCAAAGTTGGTCGACTTGCATGATTGCTGAAAATGGTTGTAGAATTTGTTGCACCAAGTTGATTGGAAGGAATCCTTGATGGCATCAGGTTCAGTACTTGTATCTTTAGCTTTGGTTAGCACATTTTCTTTGTATATGTCCACAATTTGGTGATCTTTGGCTTGTCAAACATGTAGACATGCCATGTTCAGAAGTTCAGTAGTTATTGTATGTAAGCTACAGAATTTTCTATTCTTCGTTCTTGTTGGAGGGACATCCCTCATTCCTTAAAGCCGACACGATACCAAACAATATTTTCTCTTTGTGGATAAAAAGCAGAGCACAAGAACATTGCTCCTATTTTGTAATCTTCCATTTTCATTCATCATTAGATCTGCAAACTTCACCACTCTCCAAAACCAAAGAAGCAATCAATCTGTGATGTTTCCAAATTTCAGCATTTCTTAATTTTTCCAGAATTTTGTTGATGCAAGGGCATTTTGGTCATTTTGCATGTTGCGTTTGGGATTGTGGTTGAGTCCATTTGCAATTGGTGCATTTTAATTTATGGAATCATGTAGTATGTGCTTGGTGGTGCATTTATATGTGAGATGAATTTTCAAGTGAAAGAAAAGAAAATGAGTGGTGGGACCCACCACTGCACAAAGTGGTCTAGAGACTACATTTTCACTCTCATTTTCTCTCTCCCCGTATTTCTCTCTCTCTCAATTCTCATCTTGCCTTTTTTTTTTTCTTTTTTTCAAGCCAATCTTTGAGACTTGATTTCTCTTACTAGGCGGATTTGGGTTCTGTTTGAGGTAAAACGAAGAGCACGACGAGCTCTACGCATCCATACCAGCAATTTCAGATTTAGTACCCTCCTTGTATTTCGAAATTTCAAGACCCATTTTAAGGGTTTTGGTGCAATCTTGAGGTAGGGACATCTTAATCCATGCTTTCTTGTTCCGTTGTGAATTATCCCTCTTGTGTGATGATATGCTTAATTTGAGAGTTAAGTGTATCAATGATTATATTAGTGATGTCTAGAGAATTTCATGATTTGGAATATGACTTGTTCTATGTGAAAAGTATGTCTAGATGTTGCTTTATTGTGTTTAGTATGTTGATAAACCATCTAGAAATGTTGAACATGATATATGATTGATTGGGTGTTGTAATCCTTTAAATGCCATAACATTGGAAGCATGACACATATACATGTACATGTCATTGGGTTGCATGAAATGGGAGAAATTTGTTTCTGAAATGAAAAAAGGGATTTAGGGAAGTGTTTTGATGAAATGGTTTTATGTAAACCCGGTCGCTGTGGGGGTACCAACGGGCCGGAGGTTAATATAGCCTAAAGGGGAGTAGGGAGTCGCCCTAGCATGGTTGAGCTAGCTGGGCCCCATAATGACGCTGCGGGGTTACCAAGGGTCAGGGACACTAGCCAATCCTCCTCTCATGTCGCGGCGGGGTCACCAAAGGGCGGGCTGTATTAACAGTTTGAAAGTTATGGTTTCAAGAAATGAAAAAGGGGAGCGACATTGGCATGCATCTACATTTCATGACATTGCATCGGTTGTATATGAGTTTGGTTGGAATGTTGTATTACCTCCCGACATTGTATGATCCCCATTTCCTATTGGCCTATTCCTTGTATGGATTCACAAGAACACAAGATGTGTGTCTTAAGTGTCACCTGCTGAGCTTTATGCTCACCCTACTATATATATATTTTTTTCAGGTCTTGGGAAAGAACCAGTGGACGATAATCCACCTCAAGCTTGAGAGATGTTAGAAGATCATTTTTTTGTTCCTTTTGTATTAGGCCACCTTCTTGTATATGTATAGTTTTGGAAATGTAATTAAAGTTGTTCAAACGGCCTTGTAAATTAAGAATGGAACTTACTTTGTTGATGTAATTGGAATGTTGGAAGTATTGTATATACATAATTCTATGTATTTCAATCAATGGTGTTGTAATGTGATCACGAGTTAGTTTGTTCGTTTCTAATCATAGAATGACTCATGATTGACGTTTTATATTGAGCTCGAATCATTCCCGAGTATTCTTTTCAGTTTTTCCCCCATTTTCATAGTACAGCAGTTGAGTATCAGGTTTTTGGCTCGAGATCTCCATTTCGGTCGACTGAAATGGTGCATTGGTCGATCGAAACAAAACTCTTCACTCTCGGGGTTTCACTTCGGTCAATCGAAATGAGGTTCGGTCGACCGAACCAATCTGCTGCTCTCGGCATCTGCCTTTCGGACGTCTGAAACAGAGCTTCGGACGACCGAAGCTTTGGAGCCCATTTCGGACGATTGAAGCTCCACTTCGGTCGACCGAAATGAGGCTGTTTGGCAAGCTTCTTCTTTCATCCCGGATTTTGCCACTTTGAGCATGTTCGTGTTCATGGGATCGTCTCTAAGTGTAGAAAAGATGTGGTAATGGTGCTTTGACTTTGGAAATGTCGTGTTGGACCTAGATCACCTCGGGTTCGAGTAAGGACCCGTGTAGTGGTCCGGGCCTTCGGGTCAAGGTCGTTACACAATCGGCTTGCAACTAGTTTCAACTCTTTGATTTCATTAGTGGATAACAACTCATTTTTAGTGATTGTGAAAAAGGTAGGTCTCTCTCCATGTAACACTATCTCATATATAAATAATATACTCCGTATTTCTTAAGCATACATGACACAACTAATTTGTTAATAGTATTTCTTATAGAACTTTGAACTAATTCAATTGGAGTGATGAGTTAGGCTTTGACTACGGTTCAACTCCTTTTTTCTTATTGGTTTTGGAAGCCAGAAGACTGGGGAAAAAAGTAGGAGCGCATACGGTTCGATTTGGACCGGTTTAAGAGGTTTTTTGGAACCAAACCAGTTCTAACGGATTCATAAAATTTGGAACCAAACCGATCCATTTGATCAAATGAACTAAACCAAACCAATTCGTGAAAAAATAGTTTGGTTCGATTTTTTTTTTTACAGAAGTATTCATATTTCAAAATTCACATGTACAACAATTAATTAAGTTATTAACACATTCAGAACTATTAATATATTCAGAAACTTTTAATTCATTATTCTCTATCACTTCTGGAACTGAAGTGAATAAATTCATAACTGCTATTAACCTAATACATTTAGAATTACTAATTCAACAACAAACCACAATTCAAAATTCAGCCACTATAATAAATAAATAATAATAATAATAATCATCATCATCATCTAATAAATTGATAGACCTAAGAGAATTAAGAGTTGATCATATGATTGATAGTTACTACAAACTTCTAAGTGATTTGCATTGTAGGATTATATTATATTATATATGTATAAATTAATATATATACATCATAACGGTTCTGTTCAGTTCGGTCTAGTTCGGTCCTAAATGACCTTAAACCGTGATCAAATCGTATCTTTACGGTTTTACAAATTTAGAACTGTGATTGAACCAAACCATTAGCAAACCAAACCAAACTGTCCAGTTCGGTTTGGTCCAGTTTGGATTTTCGGGTTGACTGGATTTTTGTGCACCCCTAGAAAAAAGATGTAGATTTGGGGAAAAAGTTGTATCTCTATTTTAGACTTGAAGACTAATATGATAACTCGTTGTAGGCAAGTTGATCCTTATCCAACAAGGAATTAAGTTTGAAGACTCTATAAATAAAGATGGTTACGAGAGAAAGAAAAATAAAGTTGAAATTGTGAGAGAAAAAATAGTGTAATTAAGTTTTTGAAGTAAAGTTAGTCGTTCTTCGCGTGCGGATTAGGCAATTTGTCAAACTACATAAATCTCGTTTTTTGTTTGTGTGTGATTTTTATCTAGTATATTTGCCAATTATGTGTGAGACTCCAACAAAATTTGATTCAACCAACATATTATCACATGATAAAATAATTTTTTTAGTAAAAGAAAATAATAAGTAAAAACATTGAAAAAAAAAGGAGGGGGGGGGGGGGGGGGGGGGATAAACATTTTAGGCATACAGTTTATTAAATTGTATATACTCTTTAAAAAAAAAAAAAAACCAAGGCCCAAGCTGGCTCCGTCCCTATAAAAATTATGGCAATTCCTGGACACTTTGCATTACTCTAAACAAATATTATACTGTTGACACACAAAAATAGCAATCTAAGTAGCACCCACTTTGGCATCCACGTGCACAAATGAAAGAGAGACAAGTTGACTAATTTTAACTAAAAACTCTAATTTTCTTTCAAAGATTCAATCGTTATACATTAAAAAGGTCTAGTAAATTAAAATGTACCATAATTAAGATATTTTCATTCAAAGATTCAATCTTTACTCATTAAAACACCTTTTGTAACTTCAAAGGGAATTTAAATAAATTTAACTCAAAACTTTTATTTTCATTCAAAGGTTTAATCTTTATACATTAAAAAGATCTAGTAACTTAAAAGGTATCTTAATTGAAGTATTTTCATTCCAAGATTCAATCTTTAAATATTAAAAAACTCTTCGTGACTAGAAAGGGAACTCGAATAAGTTTAACTAAAAACTCTCTTTTTATTTCAAAGAATCAATCTTAATACAATAAAAATCTCTAGTGACTTAAAAGATACCTTAATTGAGATATTTTCATCCAAAGATTCAATATTTACTCATTAAAACACTTTTTGTGACATCAAAGGAAACTCGAATAAGTTTAACTTAAAACTGTCATTTTCTTTCAAAGATTCAATATTTATACCCCCCCTAAATAAGGTTTAATGACTTAAAAGGTACATTTATTGAGGTTTTCATTAAAAGATTCAATCTTTACTCATTAACACACTCTTCGTGACCTTAAAGAGAACTCGAATAAGTTAACTCAAAACTTTTAATTTCTTTCAAAGATTTAATCTTTATACATTAAAAAAAAAAAAAAAAAAAAAAAAAAAAAAAAAAAATGGTTAGTGACTTAAAAAGGTACCTAGATTGAGGTATTTTCATTCAAAGATTTAATCTTTACACATTAAAATACTCTTCGTGACTTCAAAGGGAATTCGAATAAGTTTAACTCAAAACTCTCATTTTCTTTCAAAGATTCAATCTTTATACATTAAAAAGATTTACTGACATAATAGGTACCTTGATTGAGATATTTTCATTCAAAGATTCAATCTTTACTCATTAAAAAACTTTTTGTGACTTCAAAAAAAACTCAAATAAGTCTAACTAAAAACTCTTATTTTCTTTCAAAGAATCAATATTTATACATTGAAAAGGTCAAGTGACTTAAAAGGTACCTTAATTGAGGTATTTTCATTCAAAAATTCAATCTTTACTCATTATAACACTCTTCGTGACGTCAAAGAGAATACGAATAAATTTAAAAAGGTCTAGTTACTTAGAAGATATCTCAATTGAGTTGTTTTCATTCAAGGATTCAATCTTTACTCATTAAAACACTATTTGTGACCTCAAAGGAAACTCGAATAAGTTAACTCAAAACTCTTACTTTCTTTCAAAGATTAAATCTTTATACATTAAAATGGGCATTGGACTTAAAAGGTCCTTTAATTTAGGTATTTTCATTCTAAAGTTCAATCTTTAGTCATTAAAACACTAATTGTGGCTTCAAAGGGAACTCGAATAAGTTTATGTAATGATCCTGATTTTTCCTATTTTCCATTTACAGGGATTTTTTGATTTTTCTGGATTATTTTAATCCTTGTCTCGTTTTACATGCCGAACACCGTGGGGTGTGCCAGGTGTGTTGCGAGGGTTGGTTCGAGCTTTTCCTCAAGTTCAGGACTCTTGGAAATGCATTGGTTACTATTTCAATATTTTTTCATTTTTCGAGCCGAGAAGTCCTAAGTGGGACCCGTTACCGGAATTATTGAGCACAGGGACTGTGTTTCGGGTATGTGGCATTTCGTGCATTATTGTTTGGTGTATAATTACTTGGTATTATATATTTTAAGTTGTGGTTTTGATATATATATATATATAAGGTGGATATTTATGCATATGGGACCTACCTATTGCTTTTGATTTTTAACTAAGGACATTTGGTCATTGTAATACCCCTGATTTTAATAGTCTCGGTATTTTTTTTAGGTTATTTTCATTGCAGTTTTAATTGTTTATTTGATTTCTTGGTTAATTGTTTACTTGTTTAATTATTTTGATTGTTTATGTGTTAATTAAATTATTTATTTAAATTAAATTGCGTGCTAAAATTATGTGTTTTAGATTTCTTTGTTTAAATTAAATTGTGTGTGATAATATGTATTTGTTTAGGAATTTAATTGTTTTATTTTTATTTTTATATTTTTGAGGAATTGGATATGGATAGTAGTAATGGATCAACCAATTGGGTCCCATGGATTACTTGGATAAGGGATTTAATGGGTACAAATAATTACCCATGGATAGTTGTATATGTATATATAATAAATGAATATATATATATATATATATATATATATATATATATATAAAGAAAGTCCTTTAGTAATAATCTGATGTATATTTATATATTATATATAAAAAGGAATATACATAAATTCTACGTAACATACATTTCAGTTACCTTTTAAATATTTTAATATTTATTATTTTGTTTCTCTGTTAAGTTGACTTGGATTGGGAAAATGATTATGTTATTTTATTTAGCCTATAAATACAAAGCTATAGGTTAGGAAAAGAGGTTAGAAAATAATCACGTAATATATTCTAGAGAGGCAAAGAAGGTAGACCAAGGAAGAGAAAAAGGAAGAAGGAGGTTAGGGTTTTTATGAAATCCCTAAAGGCAAGTTTTAATTCTGCTCTTCTCCTTTGATTCGTACCTTATGCATATTAGATTAATTCTAGGTTCTTTAGATAAGTTAATTTGATTTAATTATATGGATTTATTTAGAAATTAATAATAAGTTTGTGATAAATTTTTATGTGTTGTAATATATTATGCGTTTTAATAATGTGGTGTAATATATTATGCTTTTAGCATGAAAGTTTGTATATAAATTAGATTAAAT